CACACACACACACACACACACACACACACACACACACACACACACACACACACACACACACACACACACACACACACACACACACACACCAGAGTGTACAACAGTCTCATATTAAATATGAACAAAGTCTAAAATGATGAGGTCAGAGTATTTAACTCCTATGCGCCCAAAGCTCCAGCTATGAGATCATAGCTGGAGCTTTGGACACAGCAGCCCCATCCACCCGTTTGTGAGGAGCAGCCAATCAGGAAAAAAGTTGTCTTAAATGGAGGGGAAGGGAGCTAAAAGAGACTGTTTCAGACAGGATGGACGGGGTCTGCACTCAGGCTTTTGTATAACATAGATAAATATGTAAAATTTCTAATCATGGATGCAGGACCTGAAACTGGCCAAACAGGTGATCTGTAAATTACAAGCAGTTTCATACTTGAACATCTTCAGAAAAAAAATATTAATGCAAAAAGCCTAATCGCAGCGTAATTACATGATGGTTTATTTACAGTAACCTGATTAAATTCAAATATAAAACTCTTGGCAGTGTACAGATCAATGAGCCATTAAATAAAAAGGCCTCCAAGCTAGAAAGGATTAATTTAAGCAGTAAACTAAGTACGAGCACAAATCAAACACAAGTAGGTAAGACTCTGCTGGATGCACTTTAACGACCTCTCCTGGGAAATCAACTCCAACCACATGCTGATAGAAATTCACTCAGATAAGGTTTTCTTGACATGCAGCTCGTTCAGGTAAACAAGCACAATGACGAGTTCTGATTGAACTCCAAGAAAAATAACTGGTGCATAAAACTGTGACTTTGAAAGCATGTCGCTCACATCGTAAGATGTCCACAATCAGCTCCACGTCCGTGCTGAGCTTTTTGATGTGGTCCAGGTTGGCCACCGTCACAATTGGCACATATTGGTCACTGTCCATTTGGGAGATGAGGTACATGTCACTGGCCAGATTCTCCCTGCCAAACGGAGACGCAGATAGAAGAGGTTAGTTAGACTTTCATGGTGTAGGTGGCAAAAAGTGCAGCAGTGACAACAAACTTCATTTTCTCTGATAAACAATTCTGTGATTAGCACCCACAGCTGCTCTTAAATAAGAGCGACTCTTACACGTGTAATAAACATCAGCTTTGCTGAGGGTGACACTGCATCTGAATCGCTGCTCTTCTGGTAACAAGTGCACCTTTTGAAACTCCTTCAGTTTACAGCTGTTGCACATTTGGCTGCTTTACTTGTGCAACTGTGAAATTTTTCTCAAAGCAATGCACTGTAGGTGTGTATGGTCCAGTATTTTGTAACCCAGCAGTAGTCTTTTGGTTTCTATAGCTTCTTGTTTTCATATCTGATCAGTTGTTTTTTTTTCTTTTAACTTCCACTGTAGTTTTGGAGAAGCTAACAGTATGCTATTGTTGTTGGCTTGTTCCAAGTTCACAGAGAGGAGAAAATGAAATGAATTTTTCAAGGCCTCAGTTCCTTTCAAATCAGCAGCTAAGCCACCACCACCGCAGAGGCATTCAAAAGTATGAAATAAGGCTTTCATTCAGACTACGCCTGACGCCCACAGCCGAAGGGAGAGAGAGAGAGAGAAGAGGCCTGATCGGTATCAAAAACAATACATAGTCTTCCAGTACACTAACTGCACACACACATTTAATTATTGATGGATTTAATAATTCTTTTAGCGCATGAACAATGATGTTGGAACATATACAATTACCATCACACCTCCCAGTACGACCGAAAATATTAATTTACTCTGACAAAGAGAGAGAGGGAATTAAAAATAAATAAAATAAAAAGCAGAATTCCCATGAACCCTGTACGGGCACACACACACACAGCACACACACACACACGCACACACACACACACACACACACAGACACACACAGACACACACACACACACACACCAGACAGACAGACACACACACACACACCAGACAGACGGCTGATTCAGTGTACAAATGCTCCACGAAGGCACCCTGAGACACCACTTTTGGATCTTGTCGGCCGTTTGTTTTGTTTTGTTGCGTCATACAATATGACATTCACACCACTGACCATACTGACTTCACCCACCACTGTTTAAGTCTTCTCTTTTATGGTTATTTTACTTTAATAAGCCTTAATTGGAATGAGTGTGTGGCCCAGTTTGTGACAGTCCGAATGAGCAGTGTTACAACATTCAACCCACAGAGCTTAAGTGTCCCTCCAACAAAAATGTTGAAACACACAAAATCCACACAATTAGGAGGCAGTGCTACGACCCAGTTGGAGTGGGAGAAAATGTTTTCCTAGAATTAACAGCAGCCCTTGTTAACGCCGTCACTGTAAATGTAATCAAAACCTAAAAGTCATGGTCAAAAAGCTTAAACATCATTGGTCACAGGCTTGTTTTAAACAAGGAAGGTAGAAAGAAAAAAGCCCCATCTTGCTTAATTTTCTAAATTAAGAAGATTTCTTGTAAACTTTGCCTCCGGCTGAAAGCAGCCGTCCCCTCTCTTACTAGCAGAGATGTCCTAGTCTACAGAGGAAGGCAGATTCATTTTTAACCTTTAGCTTTCAGATTACTACTACTAATACCACTAATAAAGAGAACTATAATATGAGATGGGTATTTGGTTAAGATTTGCAGCAGTACAATCCCCCCCTCCCATGAGCAAGTATAAATGCACACTGCGCCTGTAGCTGGACACTGCCTTGCATTAAAACTGTTTAGCACAAGGCTCATTATGGTTTAAAGCCCCATGTTGTACTTTAAAAGCAATCTCATGGGCAGTCACCGTTGTTCGAGACGATCTTAAATTCTCTAGTAGAACAAATACACACAAATGCAAATAAACAAACCACATATTAAAAGTCTGGATTTTGTCTTGATGCCAAAAATAAAATAAAATTTGGGCCCTGGGAGTAAACCAGGAGAAAACTAATAGCATATGAGAGCAAGCATAGAGCAGAAACATTTTTGTTTATGGTACAGTGGGTTTCAGGTCGTGTTCACACGTGCAGCCAGCCAACAGTCATAGTTGGGGAGTACACAGATGCAGACCCTTGGGAGCACAGGCAGATGACAACATTTACGTCATGAAGGCTACTGTGGACGCCTGAGGTTTCACTGCCACAGAAAGTATTATTTGAGCCTAATGTGCTGATTATACCAATCAGGAACCACAGGGTTCAAGGAGGCAGAATAACACATGAGTGGATTGCACACAGTCATCCACAAGTCATTGTGTTAATCACTTTCAAGTAGATGTTTTTCCTTCCAGATCTTAATCAAAGTGCTTTTCTCCATTAGCAAGTATGAAACAGCTGCTGAGCAATGATTGAAGTAGATGGGCTGAGATTTCAGCACAGTACGCCAGTTTCTCATGGACAGTTCGAGGCTTAGTGAAGGAGATGTCCCTACATTCAAAGAAAAGCATAAAATTCTGGGCTGTACTGTGATATGAAGCTACTGGCTCACCGGGAAAGACAGAACTCCAGGGTCTTCTTCAGGTGCTCCCTCAAGCCCTCCTGGGGGTTGTCAGGCTGGGGATCACTGCCTGTTGATAGAGGATAAAGATTTTGGTAAAATAAGGAGCAACTAAGCTTATGTCTAATCCTCTAAACACTATCCAGACAATGAAATGGGATGTGGGTGGAGAGGGTTGTAAAATATGGAGAAGGAAAAAAAGAAAGAAGAAAAGCACCAAAAGTGTCGTATTTACACACAGCAAATACTCATGCAAGCTAATTTAATGTGTTGGAAGCAATGGCACGGGCGCTAAGAAACCTACTCCTACACGGTTGCATAATCACAGTCATCTTAATACCACCCATTCCTCCCTTAGCCTCGTTGTTTTTGTCAACACTTCTTTCAAGCAGAGGGCACTTAAAAAGATAAATGTCTCGTAGCAGATCGTGTCTGGAACAGGTCAATGACATTTTAATGATGCAATAAATAACACATAAAACAAATACCTCTCAAGCGGTCACTGTTCTCCTTCAAAAATAAATCTACTGCCCGAGGACAGACTGTCCCTTAATATTCAACCACATTAGCCGACTGTGTTTGGTTGTAGTTCATTCTAACCTTGAGTTATCCAAGATCAGGTGAAATCAAACATATTTAGATCCCTGTGTGATTGACGAGGCCAACACACTTAAAATCCTTAAAAGCCTTCTAATAGCCGTGCCTGTGGTATAAATGTGGACATCGTCTCGATTTCAAGTTACTTTGTTTACAAACTTGGGTGTCCACGCCGCCCCATCAAAAATCAGCACAAAAGTATCCATGTGTAGACATGTGGAAAAACACCGCTGATACACAACTACTTCAGAGCCTCCTCTGACTAACAACCAATCACTAACCAGCCCACCTGTGTGCCCTGGCTGCCCAGGCTTGGGGTATTCTGTGCAGGCTGACTCGGAGCACTCCAGAGTGACGGCGGCTGGCTCAGCCAGCATTACTGGTACCGGTGGAGGCTCATCTGGGTCGGTTAGAAGGGGCTCCTTGTAAGCCTTGTCTTCACTGGCTTCATAGCCTGTGACAATCAACAATGGGCATTATGATAATGATTAAAGGCATAAGAATATCACCAGATGTTTAAAAGGGGGGCTATGAGCATAATTGTAGTTATTTTTATTTATTTATTTTATTTTACATGGTTTGTAGTTCAAATTAGTTTATTGGAATCTTAAACTGGGCCTTGATCCAGCCCCTCAGCTCAACCTCTAAAACCAGCCATTTAAGGACACCCTACCTTTAAACTGTGTTGGTTCTGATTGGCTGCCCCTCCAGCTACAGAAGGTGTGAACAGCAGGTGGGTGGGGGTGATATCATACAGAGTAGATACTCAGTATTTAGATCAGTCTGAGTGTTTGGCTCACACTGTTTACATGACAGATGCTCTCATCATTTGAAATTTTGATTTGATTAATATGAACATATATAGCAGAAGATAAGGAAAAGCAAGAAAACAGCTCCAATGTGAATTGAGAGCAGTGTCCTTTTTAAGTTCTAAGTGCCGAATTTCCAACCTTGTCCCAGTTCAGCAACAATACACCTGTGCAATGACAAATGGACATTATTACCAGAGGCAATCTGAAGCATCTGGCCTGGCACATAAACTCAGCCTTTTCCTGATTAAGATGCAAAGACCATCATTCTGAACGCTCTTTTCCTTTTAGAGCACAACAGATCTTCTTATAGAAATACACAATGATAATGTGAGCAACTTAAATAATGAATAATTATGAATCATTAAAGGCTGGGCAAAAAACTAATGTAATTCCAAAATAAAACCTTTTCTACAGCACTAATTACATCTAAACAAAACAAGTATTGCCTTTAAAACAAATTATCCATCTTAACATAAATGTAAATATTGCACTACTGGTAATATTGTACTAATAACAGTACTAACAAGTGGTTTTTTTTGGTCCATTATGCAATGATAAATACATTTACTGGAAATGTTTCTCAAATAAAGTGTACCAAGAAAGAAACTGTATATTTTGTGCTACAGACAAACACCATTTCTGGCTGTAGCGTAGCAATAAGCCTAGCAATAAATCCTAGCAATAAATCCTGAGAATTAGTGCTGTGGATTTCATTTACACTGAATTAAAAACAAAGTGGGTATGAAGGCAATGTCGAGTCAACAGCAAATTAAAATGACAACAGATCACAAAGGAGAGATGTGCCAGAACAGAATGAAACATGATAATGTACTAAAACCAGAGAAAAATTACATTCAGGTAATTAAGCACATAACCATTTATTAAAACAGTATTGGGACAAATTTTAATACTGGGTTAAACCGCGTGGGACTAGTAATGCCATCGTATTCAAGAGCATTTTCCTCTTAATTTGTGTTTGAGGGTTTTAAGCAACCTCCATCAAATCACAGTGCCGGCAATTTTCCTTAAGGTCTGGCTAAACTCTCTTCAGGGTGCTCTATGGAAATACTCTGCACATGACTGAACGGTACAGTGACTTAAACTGAAAACAGTTCATCTACTCAGAGCCGTGTCCCCCGTGGGAAATGGTTCGTTTTATCTTTTAGATTCGTTTCAAACACAAAAGACTTGGCAGGAGCATAACAGCGACCATAACAGCACAGCACAAAGGCCACTTCACAGATAAAAATAAAAAAGTAAATCTTTTAAGAGAAGTGAACTCTCTGATTGGAAGTAATCCGTGGGAGGTTCAGTAAAAGTTGCATCCTTTGAACTTGGTGGCTGTACTGGTGAGGCACAACTTTTACTTTAAAGGGAAACGTTTCCAATTACTTTCCACTTTTCAAGTTTCAGTAAAGCTTGGTGAGGAAAATCTAAGTATTTCCAGACAAGTTTGTGTTTTCCATGGAAACTACAGGTGATTTCAGCAACCTGCTGGCAACCAAAACAATCACAAGGTGGTTTTGCAACAGCATTTATTACCATTTTTAAATGGTCAATCTCCAGCAACCACTCGCTAACTGGTTGAGGATCACATTCTCTAGTGGCCGGAAGCTGTGATGAGGTCACTAAACAGTCTCTAGGCCTGTGAGACGTCTGTTCAAATCCTCAGACCTGCTTACTCTTTCAAACTTCAGCACAAAGCACACCGCGAAAGTGAAAATAAACACAGATGTGGCTAACTAGAAGCGACAAGTGATCGAGTCCTCCAGACAAGGGTCTTGTGAAGGAGCCTACGAGTCCACATGCCTTTGCTAAATACGTTCACACGCCGCTTCTGTGGGTGTCATCTGTCTTAATTTAGCACATCACTCCCAGCAGTCTCAGAAACCATGCTGTTATTTATTAATAAAATATGAACGATTATAATGGGGAAAGCACCGTTTCATCGTCTAGGCAACGAATGACACCCACCCCAAATTTGAATATTTGAAAATCTTGACCTTTACTTTTGAAGTCACGTCCACATCAGGCAAGTGTGAAACATAATGGTGAATACTCAAACATCAGAAAAACTGCTAACCCATGAGTGTCAAACATTGGGCCTGTGGGACAGAATGGGAACCCCTAACTAAACCATTACTGCTGATACGTAGCACATACATTTTTAATTTTTAGCTACATTTTTCATTTTTTCCATTTTACGGCCTTCTAAGTGAGAAAGGCATCGCCTACAGTCTGAAACGCAGCACCAAGGTCAGTAAGTAAAAGATGAACCATTAAATAAAATAAGTTCCTGTTTCTCATCATCTGCCATATAACTTTCAGGTTGTTTTTTGTTTTGTTTAAACAATGGGTCCACAGTAAATGAAGGACCCAAGTTTGAAGTCAATATGAAAGTAAAAGGAAAAAACAGGTGACAGGAGGGCTGGTGAATGATAATAAGTGGCTTAAATTCATAACCTTTAATAGTCCGTCTTTGTTTGTCGACAAAGGAATCAGAATAAGCTTCCATGTGCATGTAATGGTTTAGCATACTGACAGTGAATGGGGACATTAGAGGAACCAGCCAGTATCACGACTAAATCACTGTTACCACTGCAGGCGTGGTGTGAATTTTCCGTCACAGACCACTACATGCATGGCCCAACTGCATTAAATCAGCAGTGCTCCGTAATAAATTTTCCATAAATGTCTTTGCGGACGTGGAAGATGAAGTAGGCCAGGACGTCAGTGCGCGTCAAACTGAGACTAATCAATAATTTCTGTTTCACCACCATGTCCTTGTTGCCTCTGTGGCTAAACTTGGCTCAGCACATTGAAGCGAGTGATTACTGTCATTTACAAAGAAAGACGGGTGACTGGAGCTGGAATATTCATAACTCATTCTAGATTGAGTATGAATGATTAAAGGGATGTCTCCTGTGTGGTGGGAAAAGGGAACCAGAGTGGACAAAGCAGGTTTTTACACCAGACTGTGCAGTTTGTCACTACTCGATTATTACAGACTTAGCAAGCAGACTACATGCCAACATTTCACTTTCTTTCCACACCTCAGCTTCAGATTAGCTGTATACTATTTTCAGTTTCTCCGCATTACATTAATAAATTAGCTACTGGCTATGTTCACCTGATTCACGCTGCCACAACCACCAAAACCTATAATTCTCCACTTTTTCAGGTCCAGTATTTACCTGCAAAAATTTAAAGGTGTTTTTTGTAAAGACCCTCTGAAAATTGAAAACTTTCACCACATGGTGGCAGCGTTTTACCAGAAGGTTTTCATGCAGCTGATCAGCCCAACGTGCATTAAACGGACTACTTCTCATTAATGTAAATTTGTAAAAACTATTAGTTACCCAAGTCAGCACAAGTCAGCAAAATACAACAGTAATATATGAATGCTGAGCGAACACTAGCTTGAATTATGTTGGTGTCATGGTGAACACTGCACTTAGTCCATGTACCATCTTGTGGTCAACATGGGTGTTATGCAAGACTGCAGTTAACTTATTTGAACTTCAGTTAATATCTTGCAACACAATTTCATCTCTGTTACAGCCCAGAAGAATGGTGCTAGAGGCAGCGCAGAATCATTTTGTATTTAACGGCTACGTTCTCTGGAACAATTTTGTGCACTTTTGTTGTTGTTTTTTTTAATATTTAAGATTAAGATTTAAGATTCTGGGTGTCAAACATGCAGCCTGCGGTTAATACCTCACCCACCAATGACTGCCTAAGTCTAATCATCCCATTTTTTTCAATGAAATACTAGTACTATTACTACGTTGTTTATGTCCAAGCGCGAGAAATTACAAACCTGCACCTGAACTCCACACTAGCTAAAGAAAATGCTAAAGAAGGGCTCTGCTTGGGCTCAAACCGCCAACTTCTCACTGTGCTGCCACACGTAAATATTTTCACAATGTACTTCTGTCTGTTTAGGGACGTGTTCAACATTATTTTGCAATTATGTTGAACATGCAATAGTTTTATAGGTTAGCCTAGCTTGAAACAACACTGGGTTTGAAAGAGGACCATAATCTATAACAAGTCTGACACCCCCTATCTTATATGGTGCCTAACATATTAGGAGTTTACCTGCATATAAAAAGGGTTTGGGCCTTCTGCTAAAGGCGTGTTTAAAAAGTGGAGTTAGATTAATTAGATTTTGGTTTATTAAATCACTAGTAATGTCACAAAAATGCACAGACTTCTATTAAGTCAGGTAACACAGTCTCTTTGCCTTAGCCATGCATTTACCAAACATGGTTATATGCACAATAAGCCACAAAGACCATTTATAGGCAGAAAAATTCCTGTTAATGCTGAATAATGATTCAATGCTATACTGATACACCATTTAAAAACAGGAAACGTTTTATGTTCTTATCTATGCTCTGTATTGCGTTATTTCGATATATCTGAAATGGAGAGCAGTTATACTTTGTTTTGCACTATAGTGGCCAAAAGTCAGATTCTAAGTATATAAGAAGCCAGTTTTTGTGCATCAATGACCTTCTGGGCCGGGATCGGCCGAACTATCGCAGCCTTCCTTCCATGGCTGCAGGGCAGCAGTTGTGGTGTCGGCAGTCCCGCTGGGGTCCAGGCTAAACATGTGGTTGGCCCATGCTTTCGCATTGGGGTTGAGGTCCGAAACCTTGGCAGATTCCTGCAAAAGAACAGAGCCCAATTAGAGAAATCAACTTCAGCTTATGTATGTCACCACATCAGTATATGTAGTTACTAAAAAAAGATAACATCAACTTTGACTATAAATCATATGACTGTAATCGAAGAATTGTCTTTTACTAGTAAATATACACCTCAAAGGTTCTGAAAGTATATTTAAAACCATGCTAACAGACTTATGTGGCCTATGTTTCATCCGTGCAATTTAAAGAACACCAACAAAGCAGTGTTTCCTATACAGATTTTATGTAGTCCAACCAGCCACATATGCTAATGTTTGCCTTGTTCACTCATCTGAATGAAAAACATCAACCACTATCCTCTCACTCTTATTCTTAAAGTTTGGTCTTGCTTTTCCCTACTCTCTGGTTCGCTGGCCACATTCCTGCTGTGGCGGCCTGTGAGACATTTTCTCCGTCTCTCAAACAAACTATTGCGTTGGACTGAAGCTGGCTACGACAGTCCGTAGTCCACTTTGCAGATCCTCTCTGAGCTAGAAGGCCACTCTAATCAGAAGAGCAGCAGGTGGAAAACTGCTTCATGTGCCATATTGTTGAGCTCACCGTGTTTGCGCAGCAGAGTTAGAACAACAGCACCAGCAAAGACGAGTGGAAGTGAAGTCCACCCAGGTGATCACAGACTCTGATCTGATTATATTCCTTCAGTATTTGTCACAGAGTAAATTAAATATTTGAAGCAAGCATGGTTGTGCCTGTGTAAGTGCAAATGAGCTAACATCAAAGACCGAATCTGTAGGAAACGCTGCAACTGCTACAAATCAATCACAAGAGCCAAGCTAACATCAACCCACCCAGGTCACAGGGAAGGGAAAAAAAATAAAAAATTTCAACAAGATGGTGTCTAAGGAAATCATCAGGGTTTGCCTTCTACCCAATTAAAATCCATCATGAGTGACCCACATTATGGGGTCTCATTTTGTCAGTGACACGAGCTAATATAACAGTGCTAAAGAGAGAGAAGTGCACAAAGACTGTAGAAGCCGATTTTCCCCACATGTATTGCTTTTTAAGGCGGTTTTAAATAGGTTGCTTATTTATATTCATATGCACAATGAACTGTACATTTCAAAATATGCCAATAAAACACTGGATGTGCCAGACATATATTATAGCAAACAGTAATTTGGTTAAAAAAAAAAAAAAGTCTTCACAAAATCTTTCATGTCTCAACTCACATTACAGTTTGTGAGAATACCAATACTGCAAAGCCTTCTACAACAATTTTCCTTTGCTTACTCTAAAGAAAAATACAGGGAAAGTATAAATATGACATTTAAATGACAGATTCACTTGCCCAGAAAAGAAGTTTCTATTTCCGGGACTTCTCCTGGCTCAAAATTGGCCTTTCGGCTGGGTGACTGTGCATGTAAGCACGACTTACTCAAGTCTAAGCATTTTCCTGGTCAAAATGTGCTTTACGATCAACTAATTTAAACCCCGCATATAAAAAAAAAGAACCCTTTGTTTCACTGTAATGTTTCTGTAATGCCTTCTCGACTCTTTGAAATGGTCTACGCTGAGAATGAAAAAGGCGAGCATTCATCAGTCATGTTGTACATAAGTCTCAATTGACAACAAGACTCCTCAAACTAAAAATCGTTTTGACAGGAACCAGGCTAATAAACCCCTGGTGTCTGCTGGAAATACTCACAGGATCAAAGCGGCAGTTCAGCATGCATGTCTCACAGGCTAAGAGGCTATAACCCAGAGCGGTGGTCAGAGTCAGCGTTTCACTCAACTCCTGAGGAACAGCAGGCCAGACGCTGCCTGCCGCTGGTGGTATTAGAGTCCACTGCATCCAATCCATGGCTAAAACATAAAGATAAGGTCTAAGTATGTCCACCGGTGGGCAGAGGAAGGAAGTCTTCCGACCAACATTGGCTTGCCTCAGGCTCTAACCTGCAAACGTCTGAGCAAAGCGGCTGCCACCACCCCTCTCCAAGTCATCCTCGTCAAATCACAGCTACCGCCACGCTCTGCCTGCCCTCCTCCGATACAGGCTGCTGGGTTGATTCAACAAATCTGATGACAGCACTGAGGCTCGGCTGCCCCGGTGGGCCAGGGCTGACGTTGCAGAAGCTGACTGGCTGTCTCGCTCCCGTTAAGCACCCGTCTCTGCTTTTGTTTTGTCGCCGTTGCACTGAGTCATTCCCCAGGAAAAAAAAAACAAAACGCTGGAGCTGTGCAGGCAGCGTTGAGTCGCACACCTGCGCTCAAATGAAATGCCTGCTCCGGTCTGCCACATGTTAAATCAACCCTGAGGCATCGCTCAAATTCAGACCTCCAGAGCCTTGGTTTTAATATATTATTCTGCTAACAAGCTAAGTTGCAAAATAAAGGGCTGGGCAAACTGGTTTCTTTTTGAACATAGTAAAGAGAGGAGGAAGAGAAACAAAAACACAACAAGATTAAGAAGTGAGCAGCAAGAGATGTTGTTCCTTAGTCGTATTTCACAAACATGGCACTACGAGATCATTCACGATGTGCCTGGCCAGACAGAGACAAATCCCCGCCTATGCTAATAATCCATCCTTCCTCCAATGTAAAACTCCCACTCCTGTCCGAGCGGCTGCCATAGAAACTGCTGCTGACATCAATGGACGTGTACGTCCAGGGCATCGCTTGACCTTTCAAAATTTTAAAATGTTCCCCTCTCTCACAGAGGAAGGAAAGGTTAGCAGCCTTTCTGATTGAGGGTGTATTTTTGGAGGAAATAGGAGAATGTGATTCATCACGAACCGTGGACAGAGATGAGTTATAGTCAGTGTCATTGGAGGGCAGCCGACGTAGCACCGGGTTTATTGCTCTCCCTCCTTGATGGAGGTGGGCTCCCAGCAGACAGAGAGACAGAGCAGACAAACCAGAGTCCTTAGGGAGGGAAAACAAAAACAGCTGAATTTGGACTAATCTGTCTGTCTGCAGACCGGAGGCTCCTCTTTCCTCTCTGACAGACAGATCTGGGGAGACCAGATGGGCCAGATGAGCACATCACAAATACTACAACATGCATCATCCTTAACAGCATTTTCTACAATATTAGACTAATTTAGCAACTACAGATTAGTTGTTTTTCCCCCCAGGTCATTATTTAGACAAATTTGAACAGTTTAACCTTTTTTATTTTTCTTTGAAACCATCGGTCTGGCGGCAGGACCATTTTACAAGGCTTCTAAACTCCTTTACCACTTGTTCTAAAGGCAAAATGTAAACAGTTTGGGAAAGACGAGAAGATGCCCTTTACAGGGATATTCTGTGTATCATGGTAGCACAAAGCATTCATAAGGTACTGTGTGAACACCAGACGGGGGAACCTAGATTTTACAGTGTGTGCTTTTTATTCAAATGGTTCCAGAAAGATGACTGCAGTCGACCTCCATCTATACGCAGTTCAGTATTCGCAGATTTTTCTGTGGAAAGTAACTCCAAATTATTTGGGGAAAATTCGCCTATTCACAGATTTTTTTGATTTGACACGCTATTGGCTGGTGTTTGCAAAGCAGCCAATCTAGGAGTGCCATTCATTTTCCTTCATGTTGAACAGAGTACCGCCCAGTACATCAAGACTGTGGATGTTAGCTTCTGTGGTAGTGCCAAGAAGTTTTCCACGTCTCAATTATTTGCAGTTCTCAGTTCTTTGCGGGCGGTTGTGGTTCCTAACCCCTGCGAATACCAGGGTCAACTGCATTTTGTAGTTTTACAGTCAAAATGACAAAATAAGTCCACGTGGGCTGCTTGATACTGGCTTAAACTTAACTGATGCTATGTTTATACTTAGACTAGAGGAGCTTCGTATGATCCCTAACAGTTTATTTGTATCGTCACTACACTTTACTGTAACATCATCTGATATTTGCTGTGCCGTTTTTATAAAGATACCTTATTTTGTTTATTTAGCTTTCTTGATTTTTAGATATTTTACCTTAATTATGCTAATATATTTTTTATTTAAATCTATGCTTAATAACTAAACATATTTTACCTTCTACTGTGCTTGGTTCGAGTGTTGGGGGTTGCTGAGGTAACTTTTAACCAGAGGTCAGCAAACTGTGGCTCAGTTAGAATTAAAACATTTCTTTAGAAGAAATGGCAATTGTGCTTATTACAGCAAGTTTCTGAACTTCTCATCTAATGCAAGCTTATTCTTTGCCTTTATTTAAGTTCTATTTATTCTATTTAAGTTTAAGTTCTCTCAGAAATGAGCCATTTAGCTCCTCTCACTTTAACGCTGCAACCTTCTTCCAGAGGAAAACAAAACTAACAGCATTATATTATTAGTCACATTTGTATAAGAACCGTGGTTCTTTAAGACGATAACTCAAAGGCAAGCCAAGTCGTAAAAGACTGATCTAAGAGATTTGTTGACGAGGCTGGACAGTGGGGAGAAAAGCAGTGGTGTGGTGTCTGTGTATTGGTGGCATTTCCCTGCTTTGGCAACAGATTTAAGAATGAGGATCTGAAATCTTTTGATATGGCTACCCAGTTGCTAAACTACATTTACACTTTTTCAGTACATCCCCTTCGGTTTCCAAAGCTGGACGACTGCTTAAAAACTAGTCTGCATTTCTGTCCCCACAGTTTTGATTACATCTGCATTCATACACAGAACATTTTCATACCTGCATATGCAGTGAAACTGCAGCTTCTCTCTGCCGTATGACCCACTAAAAAAAAAAAAAAAAAAAAAAAAAAAAAAAAAAATTGTGAAGATTCCCGTCAGGCTCACTTTCTTTCCAGCTTGTGTCCATAATTGATTTGATTTAACATGCACAGCTAAAAATGGGTCACGCTCAATTTCTGGTCTGTTTCTGACACATATGTGCAAAGCATATGGTGTATCACTCCGTCTCTGTGTGAACGCATGAGTGTGAATAAGGAACAACACAATTTTGGTAGCACCAAATGGCTTGCACATTATTATCCATAAAACTGAGTGCTATTTTACTACAATTATATTTATAATTTGGTGTTTTACTGTTACAATTTTAAACTTACTGTATGGAGTGATAGGAGTGCCAAAATTAAATAAATACAGAAAATAATGTGTGAATTAAAATGGAAATAAAATTAATACACAATTAAACGCATAATTACTTAAAGTACCAAATATTCATCCATCCACAGGACCCCAAGATGAGCAGTTTCCCTGCACAGCAAGTTGAGGCCGATGTGGGGCAGCCAGGTATCCCAGAATGAATGTCAAGCACCCTAAAAATCCAAGTTTTAAAATGGTACCGTTGCCAAAAAGTTCATTTGCAAAAGCACACCAGCATTTGTTGAGATCTCTGACCAAGTTGTGACCCAAAGCTAACTTCAAACCAAAGCATTCTTTTAGACTACATGGTTCTTAGACCCGTCCCTGAATTTAATGGATTAGATTGACAAGTAAAACAAATTCAAGATGCAATGTAGCACCGCAACCATGAAATAATTAGAGAAACAAGTTTCACGTAAAATCAATTTATATTTAAATGAACAGACTATGTGCACGTTAGCATATGCTACTTCCGGTGTGGAAACTCCTGTGGGGAGCTTTGTTTCCGGTGTCCTATTAGCGCCTTGTTTACGGTCCAGAACAAGTTAAGCAAATGAATGAATCAAGCGGCGATTTACATTTCTATAGATGTCTTGGGCATTTACCCAATATACCTGTAAATGATTTTCATCGACTGGTCGATATTTTTTCCCTGCGCCTCAAAGCAAAAGAGAAAAGGGATTCAAATGTTATATTTCTCAGCTGTCCCTCGGGTGTTAGGTTCTAAAAATAACCAGCGATAGGTGAAATCAAGTAGCAGATTTTATTTTTTGACGGCGCAAAACGTTTGGTGGACATCGTGGACATACAGTACTGCACTTCAGAGTCACACTGCTAGCGATCGATGCAGCGATTCTGTACTGTACAGGAGAGACGTCACGGAGGAGATCGTCTGCAGCGATCAGGGCACAGGACACAATGTGACGTAAAAAAAATAAATAAATAAGCATGCAAACTTGCACTAAAAAAATCTGCGAAACAGTGAGGTGAAAGGTGAACCGCGTTATTCGCGAGGGAACACTGTAATTTTTAAGGTAAGTCACAACATACCCTTCGTAAATACCAATGTATAGGAACCCTTACCAGCAATCATTAACTTTTTGTGTGGCTTTTTTTCACGGTTTGTTAACATGCTGTGTGGGTGTGTACCTGACTAGCTGATCTCGACATAAAGGGGAAACATCTGGTTTGACTATTCTTCACCTGTAGTTTGAATGCTGAACATTTGCCTGTTTAAATCATAAGACCAGTCACTATACAGAGATGTGCTTCTGAATGTGGACAATGTGTCTTCTGCTGCAGTAATGCAGTTCTGCTTGTGTTGAGTGATGTAAACAACTGATCGATCTAAACGCTTTAAACGTCAAAATTAATCATTCGATTTTTTATGACACAACAGCGGTGAGTGTTCCCACCTTCTGCTCTTTGTAACTTAACGCGATCTTTCCGTTTTCGAGTTTTGGACATGATTTTGGAGTACGGTATATCTTCGCAGTAGCGATTGACCGCCAAGTAAAGCTACCGGAAATGTACAACCCTACATCCGGTCTCAAACCAGGAAGTTAGCATTTTCTCGTGCACAGGGTCAATCATTACTGAATTATCAACATGTTTAATTAATTATTTAATCGTATTTACAAAGCATGCCTTAATATAACTGCATAGCCCAGTAGTAAGTGTTTTTTGAGATTACAAAGATACAAACTGCATGATTAATTGTTGCGGAATTTTATTCATATCTGACAGAAATGAGTGTGCAGACTAACCCGCAGTTCAATCTGAATTCTGAGGAAGTAACTGTTAACACTTTTGTTTTTTTATGTTGGTTGACGATCAAGTTTTACTTCCTGTGGGCTCAACAGTTTCACAAGCTTTAGATTCAAACCTTTGTTCAAAACTGAATTAGCTGGTAGCAGCTGGGTCATGTAGAGTCTACGGTCCTTTTAAATGCTCATTATATAAATGTGAAAGTAACCTGGCCTAAACTACAGCTCTTGTGCGTTATATGATGTGATGCTCTCTCTTTGCTCAGTAACCTTGATATGCTGAACTGTGTGGATTTAACTGAGAGGTGTATTTTTCTTCTCTGACCACTTTTCCCACAACGAATCCCACCTGAGACCTACCCAACCACGAGGGTAGTTTGCTCTTTCCTTTTCACTGCCAATCTACTTTCTAATCGTGTGCATCTGTAAATGACAGTGGAAAAAAACAAAACAAAAAAAAACAACAAAACAAAACACCCAGCAGGCTCTTTCCATTTCCTAATTTTGGAGCACACGGGAAAAATAACTTTTCTTCGCCTCAAGGCCATCCGCTCACTTTCTGCCCATTTCCTCAATTGTGCATTCTTTCCTATTTGAGGAGGTTGACTGAAGCCCAACCTGAGGAGTCAACCCCTGTGAATGCTTGTTCTCAAGTCAAGTCCCCATATTTCACCTGCACTGTACCAGCAGCAGCTATGCTTCACTGCACTGAGGAAATTCCAGTTTCTGCTACAGTAAGAATTACCATTAAGAAACAGCGAGTGTAAGAATGTGTTTTCCCTTTTAAAAACACAAACGAGCATGAGATACACTCATATCAGGGGAGTGACTTAAAGCCCAGGAACCAACACTAGAAACACTCAGCTTCAAACCACAGCGCTTGGATAAAAAAAAACAACAACAACAAAAAAAAAAAAAAAAAAAAAAAAAAAAAAAGCCCTCAAAAAGCACTCTGTGTTTAAGGAAACAGGTGTGACTTATCACAAGACTTTTCAGGTTTTGTTTTCATAATAGTAGGAAGCCAAAATTGTAACTGACAAATCTGGGTGTTAAGTTAGTAGCAAAAATAAATAGCATGAATAAATGTAGCACAATTAACATTTTTATCATCATTATCCTTTTTTAATAATTGTTGTAGGCCAACATTGATTGAGAACCCAGCTCAAACCGGAGCAGATGGCTGCTCCTCCTGGAGCCTGGTTCTGCAGCAGGTTTCTTTTTGCTAAAAGGGAGCGTTTCCTCCCCAATGTCGCCACGTGCTTGCTCAAAGGGAGTCGCTTGATTGTTCGGGTCTTGGTGTAATTATTGTTGGGTCTTTACCTTATAATACAAAGTGCCCTGAGGTGACTACCATTGTGATTTGGTGCTGTATAAATAGAACTGAACTGAAACTCCATTTGTTATACTAAATGAAAAACGCCTCATCAAAAAGTGCTGCAATCTCACTTGTTGCTTTCATGATAATACCAATATACAGTGGGGCAAAAAAGTATTTAGTCAGCCACCGATTGTGCAAGTTCCCCCACCTAAAATGATGACAGAGGTCAGTAATTTGCACCAGAGGTACACTTCAACTGTGAGAGACAGAATGTGAAAAAAAAAAATCCATGAATCCACATGGTAGGATTTGTAAAGAATTTATTCGTAAATCAGGGTGGAAAATAAGTATTTGGTCAATAACAAAAATACAACTCAATACTTTGTAACATAACCTTTGTTGGCAATAACAGAGGTCAAACGTTTACTATAGGTCTTTACCAGGTTTGCACACACAGTAGCTGGTATTTTGGCCCATTCCTCCATGCAGATCTTCTCGAGAGCAGTGATGTTTTGGGGCTGTCGCCGAGCAACACGGACTTTCAACTCCCGCCACAGATTTTCTATGGGGTTGAGGTCTGGAGACTGGCTAGGCCACTCCAGGACTTTCAAATGCTTCTTACGGAGCCACTCCTTTGTTGCCCGGGCGGTGTGTTTTGGATCATTGTCATGTTGGAAGACCCAGCCTCGTTTCATCTTCAAAGTTCTCACTGATGGAAGGAGGTTTTGGCTCAAAATCTCACGATACATGGCCCCATTCATTCTGTCCTTAACACGGATCAGTCGTCCTGTCCCCTTGGCAGAAAAACAGCCCCATAGCATGATGTTTCCACCCCCATGCTTCACAGTAGGTATGGTGTTCTTGGGATGCAACTCAGTATTCTTCTTCCTCCAAACACGACGAGTTGAGTTTATACCAAAAAGTTCTACTTTGGTTTCATCTGACCACATGACATTCTCCCAATCCTCTGCTGTATCATCCATGTGCTCTCTGGCAAACTTCAGACGGGCCTGGACATGCACTGGCTTCAGCAGCGGAACACGTCTGGCACTGCGGGATTTGATTCCCTGCCGTTGTAGTGTGTTACTGATGGTGACCTTTGTTACTTTGGTCCCAGCTCTCTGCAGGTCATTCACCAGGTCCCCCCGTGTGGTTCTGGGATCTTTGCTCACCGTTCTCATGATCATTTTGACCCCACGGGATGAGATCTTGCGTGGAGCCCCAGATCGAGGGAGATTATCAGTGGTCTTGTATGTCTTCCATTTTCTGATGATTGCTCCCACAGTTGATTTTTTCACACCAAGCTGCTTGCCTATTGTAGATTCACTCTTCCCAGTCTGGTGCAGGTCTACAATACTTTTCCTGGTGTCCTTCGAAAGCTCTTTGGTCTTGGCCATGGCGGAGTTTGGAGTCTGACTGTTTGAGGCTGTGGACAGGTGTCTTTTATACAGATGATGAGTTCAAACAGGTGCCATTCATACAGGTAACGAGTGGGGGACAGAAAAGCTTCTTACAGAAGACGTTACAGGTCTGTGAGAGCCAGAGATTTTCCTTGTTTGAGGTGACCAAATACTTATTTTCCACCCTAATTTACGAATAAATTCTTTACAAATCCTACCATGTGAATTCATGGATTTTTTTTCACATTCTGTCTCTCACAGTTGAAGTGTACCTCTGGTGCAAATTACTGACCTCTGTCATCATTTTAAGTGGGGGAACTTGCACAATCGGTGGCTGACTAAATACTTTTTTGCCCCACTGTACATCTCTGCCTGCATTGAGGATACAAGCACTAAAATGTTATTTTTGGACCACACTGCCCAACCCTAATACAACCAATAATCGTGTAGCACCACCAGCCAAGAGAGCCAGACACCATACCAGAAAAGTGGCACAAACGCTTCTCAGGAAAACAGTTCGACCCAACCGGGGGAGGAATAGGAAACTTATGTTTTTAAATCTAGCTTTCACAGCTACTACACCTCACCGCCCACCTTCAGTCTAACCAGACACGTCTGGCCTGAGAAAAGCAGCAGCTGGTTAAGTGGACGACAGAGAAGGCGTATTTACTGTCACAGCCAGAATTGACCAGTATTTGGTCAGAGCCTGCTGTAATATCCCACCCCAGTGACCACATTTAGCCCCAACAGGCTCGCATGTGTTGCTGTCAATCAAACCTGCAGAGCTGTGAAGTTCCCTACGAAAGCATAGAGGTCGTGCAGATGAACTGAGGAATCTCTGGGGACAAGATTGAGGGCTAATATGCAGAGTCGCCGATAAAAGGAAGACACACAGGAATAACCACTTTAGCTCTGGCAGTATTTCTCCCATGCAGCAGGCTTTAAATCTGGGATGCTTTCCTTCTCACTTCCTGATCCGAAAGGCTTGTGGAACAGTCAATGTTAAGTGATCAGAAATGGAAAAATATTAGGTCCAGTTACATTTTGTGTTTAAATTTGAAATGTATTTTTTGAATGCACGTCCAAAGGTTTTCAATGAAAAATAATTAGCATATAAATAAGGAGCAGAGTGGCAGCATTTCAGGGTGAAAATAACCATGCTGGTGGGCTATTAGTACTGTCAAACATAAGTACTGTTGAAGTATAATGAAAAGAGACGCAGTTTTTCCACAATTCAGTTTACGTACACACCAATATAAAAGTCAATATGGATCCT